TCATAGACCATGTAGTTTAGAACCAAAACTTATTTCTATGGAACTTCTCTATATATTATCTCGGATTTGACAAATCACCCCCTACCCCTATATTAGGCTTCAAGCTCCGCAATTTGAGCATACGGGCATATTTGCTAGTATAGATAACACGGATTATTCTTCTCAATGATTGTCTCCCATCCAACGCTTGCGGACACATTGGTAAGCTTATGGACACATTAATGTTTGGTTGACTATCAAAAGTTATCATGACAAAGATTAGGTAAGAAAAAGTTGTTAAAACTAGGATAAAATTATTGTCATTGATTTGGTATGCTAGTTGTGAGATGTTGACAAATTTTGTAGCAAACCAAATGAGTGTTAAAATTTTGGTTTACCTGAGTTTTGGTAATTAAAATTTGGCTATCAACCAATCAGCCTCATTGAGGGGTATCAGTGGCACGTCCGTCTTTGGAGACACACGTTTGCTACAGCTCGGCGAGCTGCTTCACGTACGAGCATGCCGCGCGGCCCCGTCGCTGGATTTCTGCTTAGAGAAGCCGCCTATAGAAGAAGCTAAAATAGTACTCCTGAACGCTCTTGTGGGCCTTAGCGCTGCCGTTGTGGTAATCAGTTAAACACTAGTATAATGAACTGCTTTTAAAAATAGCTTGTCTGTAAGTATCATCTTATACTAGTATTTGCAAAAATCAAGATATAAGGGTTCATATAACATATGATGCTGGATGCTTTTCAATGAACTCTTCTCTATCTCTACCTAATACTAATACTAAAGAGGCAAAATTTCAGCCTAATTTTTCGTCTGCCCTCTCAGCCAAAGATTCAATCCAAATCGAATCGAAATGGAGCTCTAAATCGAATAAAAAAAACAGTTCCATGACGAACTCCCGGGCGAAACCGACACGAGTGAGCCAACAATAATTTGGAAGGTAGGAAATAATAGGATATATCAAGAGAGGATCGAAAAACATAGTAAGCACCCAGATCTCCTGGGATCTCCTTCTTCCCAAAATCAAATCCAGCACGCACATGACACGACTTGGTACCCACCAACAACCAAACCAAATCCAGATTCGAGATCGAGTCCAAAATAAAGGCCACCAACCATATATATATACATAAATAAATAAAAAGTCGAGCACAAAATCGACGACGGTCAATATGATCTGGGCGACGTGAGGCGGGAAGACGACGACAGTGCTAACGAGGCGTAGACGAGGCTAGCGTGGATCTGCGGGGAGGTGCTGAAGCAGGGCAGTAACGTCGGGCGGGAGAGACCTCTGGACGGCGTTCCCACTGCCGGCGCACATACCCCACACATACCCCGTCATAGGCAGCGCCCTACTTTTCTATGGTATATAGACTTCTATGTAACTATTCAGAGGCGCAGGATGTTCTATACGTTACATGATCTCTGCTTCCATACGCATCAGCGTAGAAACTCTCCCCCTACATCTAAGGTCAGTAACATCAGTTGCAAGCCTACTTTGGAGTTCCTAACACCACCGAAAGTCACGAACAGTGACATACCAAAATTGCGTGTTGCTGCAGAATTTTTCCAAGCCAAAGTTACCGTTGGCAACATCCTGTTTTCTGCAGTTTCAGATCATATTCCACGGGGCGGATCTTTGGGCTTTGCAAGTTTTCTTGAGGAGTTGCCTTTGCAGGTGTCCACCACGAGAGCTTACCAAGCTAAGTATACTACATATTTACAGGCAAAGGAGGTAGTATGTACATCTTCGATCAGCTCACAATCAGGAGAAAGTAGAGGGGCGAACATGTAAAGGAGACATTGTTGAATACTCTACAACGTAACAGATCTGGTGGAGTTCCACAGCACATGTTCCTTTCATCAATGTGATTAACTTCCAAACCAATGAACCATGATCCAAGCAACACGTCTTCATTTGCATATTATATTTGTGCAAGATATATAGGCCTGTTAAGCTAGTATATATCACTTGCATGCATCATTAGTTTTCTTTAGATGAACAGACACCCTTCTGTCACTATGTAAAAAAAGCATGAAGAAATGGCATATATCTGCCCCGTAGCATGACGAAAATGGAAAATGTTTATTTCCTTCCTCCCCAAATTTCAAGTACTCACTTTCGCAAAAAAAAAAAAAAAAAACAGTACTCAGGTTCATGGTACTTCACATTCCTATATGAATAGAGCAGGTTCAAGCAGGCCTCTATTAGTACTTCAAATCTAGCATTTGAATTCATGTTGTGACAGCGTAGGATCCTAAAATCGCTGGCACTGGCAGGATGAATGTGCATGCTCTCGATACATTATTCAGAACTAGAGTAGAGTATCATTTGGTACTTTTAGATTAAGGTATCACCGGATACATGTTCAGATCAATACACTTCAAATATTGTATTCTTATTGTCTTACTACTTCTACGCATTCACCAGTTGTGTATGGACATATATCTATGTACGTCAATATACTAGCATACTATTTTTTCTTCTAAAGACATAATAAAATTCCATGAGTATATGTACCTACTCCCAAACAGCAGTATGCATACATAATACTCCCATTCAAAAAGTATGCACTTCTCAAATAAGTATGTAAATATACTCCTATCCAAAAAGTGTGCATATATTTAATCATACCTTTTCTCAAATAATGCGTACGTACACATACTCTCTACTATATATATCAGTACGTATGCGTATATACTCATACTCTAACTAAAATAATGCGTGCATACACATACTCCCTACAACAGTAGTACGTATATGTACGTACTCATACTCTACCTAACAAGTATGCATCCATGCTAGCTGTTTTGACATGGATGCATATACGGCAGTGGAAAAAGTATACAGGTGTTCGAAGAAGCCAACAAATCAGCGCCGGGCACAAATAATGGAGATATATAACGGCGGCTGACGTCAACTCAGCACGTGCACATGCAGATACTTTTAACGGGTTTGTTTGTGCACAAAATCCAATTAGATAGGTGGGAGTCACCGGCCTGATAGATAGTTTGCTCGGCTTGCTGGTTCGTATTGTTGCTGGTTCGTTTAGGTGAGAGAGAAGTACTGCTGGCTGGTTCGCGTGAATAGTAGCCATGTGAGGGGGCTGCCCAACCAGCCCCAGCCCAACGATCAGGTGGTAAGACACCGGCCCGTTAGCTAGGTCCGTGCGGGACTGCTTCTACCCTCGCGTGCATATACTCAGGTCGGAGTAGATACATGTGCGTGTAGGGAAAACTCACCCTAACTTTTATTATTAATATAATATTATTATTGGTGATACATAAAGATTAAATTAATTTTAGTATTTTCAATTTATTTTAAACCTAATATATTTGTTGTTGTAAATTATTTTAATACTTTAAGTTATTTATTTAGTGATGTAAAATAATTTTATATAATTTATAATTTTATGATAAATATTATATAAATAATGATATATTAATAATTATTAAATATTTATTGATAACTGTATTATTTTTTATGAGTTGTCCCTGTTCATGCTTGATACCCACATACTTTAACCTCTACTTGTATAATAATTTTGTAAGTATGAAAACATTGATTAAGCAAAATGGCTAATTGTTGCCTACCGTTTTCATTTGAATTTTTCCACTCGACCTATCCTTTTATTAAATATTATCCATTATAATTCAGTTCGTTTTGATACTAGGGATTTTTAGAAGTGTATTTTAATTTTATTTCATATTGGTTATCGATGAACTTAGTACTACTAATATAAAATTCTATTTATGTATGTTGAATTTAATATGTACTTCGAAATTGAATTGAGTAAATATTCGAATAAAAATTCGAATTTGAAACATCTTCTTATTACAAAAAAAATATTTGTAGTTTAAATTAAAATATTAGTAGCAAGTGATATCTAGATCCGACTCTACGGTGAATCCGATCCGTCTCCTCCATCCCTCGTCTTACGTGACGACCATTAAACATTTTCCTTCTCACTATAGTAAAGCAGTGGCGAGGCCATGCAAATATGTAGCCGGGTCAGTTGATCCCTCGGCGACACAGTGTGGACGAGGATTAGGATTAGGGCATCGGCATCACGGACGGTCACGCGGAGCAGCGACTTCTTGTGTGCGTCTGTACGACAACGCGGCCGTGCATAGCCTCGTGGGCCGCGTGGGCCTCCCGTCACGGCCACTCACAAGGGGGCGAGCGGTCGCGTTGCATGCGAGCCCGTGGCCGCTGGGTAAGTTTTTTTCCCCCAAAATACACGTAAACACCGTAAGAGTTCGTAGGATCGCAGGGTATGCCGCTGCATACCCTGTAGATTCGCCCCTGCTTACTATAGTAAAGCAGTGACGAGGCCATGCAACTATTGGGCAGGTAACATTATCTTGGTCCCAAAACAAGTGTCAAGCTTTTGGTTTTGTGAGGGTCATATTTTACTAAATTTGATTAGATTTTATAAAAATATTAATAATATTCATATTTTCAAATATTTTTTTTGTACAAAAATATATTCAATAATTAATCTAATAATAAGTATTGTACCTAAACATTATTAATTTTTTGTAAATATCTGATTAAAGTTAAGAACATTTAACTTCTAAAAAAGTGTATTTTTAAATAAATAAATAAATAAGTGTATTTTGAGAGGGAGAGAGTAGGATGGTGGTGATTGGTTGGTCAGACAGACTATTACGATTCCCTATAAACTCTCTTTCCCGGTGAGACCCGAGCAGTCTCTGTCTTTCATGTCCCCACCCGCCCAGACGCCCACAGCCCACAGGCAGGCAGCATCTGAGCATCATCACCAATTCAAAGAAAACGATATTTTAATATTATATCTTCACTTTGTGCCTGCTCACCTCCTCTGACCAAATCTCCTCCATTCCCAATCAAAGATTTTCCTGCAAAGAGGAATACGATTCACCTCAGCTCCACCACCGGAAACCACCAAAAACAAGATCTTGCAGCTAGGCAGCACCGGAGTCAACTCAGCAGTGAAGCAAAGCAGGCTCTCCCAGCCGGTCAGCAGCCATGAGTACCATGAAGTTTTGCCGTGAATGGTAAGCCGCTGACGACGACGACCGCTGCTGATGCTGCTGCCTGATCGCTTCCTTTTTCACCTGCTCTGCTCTGCTCTACTGACGGCACCCTCTCTTTCTTGGCATGGCAGCAACAACATCCTGTACCCCAAGGAGGACCGGGAGCAGAAGGTGCTCCTCTACGCCTGCCGGAACTGCGACCACCAGGTTCCATTCCTTCGCCGATCCATCAGCCTCGTCTCGGATCCATTCGGATCTCTCTCTGAAGCATATGCATATCTCTTGTTCTTCCATCTCTACCTGTTTCTAGATTCCTGACGTGGTTTAGCCATTTTGAAATGCTCTGCTGGGACCGCCGCACCGCAGGAGGTCGCCGACAACAACTGCGTGTACCGGAACGTGGTGCACCACAGCGCCGGGGAGTTCACCCAGGTGCTCCAGGACGTCGCCGGCGACCCCACGCTGCCCCGCACCAAGTCGGTGCGCTGCGCCTCCTGCGGCCACGGCGAGGCCGTCTTCTTCCAGGTCGCTCACCTCCTCCTCCTCCGCCTCCTTCTCAAGAGCTAGCAATAGCATCGTCTTCTTCATAGACCATGAGTGAGAAACTTCTGACAAGGAGCTCACCATGGTTCTTTTGCCCTGGCACTGCAGGCGACTGCAAGAGGCGAGGAAGGGATGACGCTCTTCTTTGTCTGCTGCAACCCGAGCTGCGGCAACCGCTGGAGAGAATAAAGGCGCTGATCGATTCAGCAAGACGTACGATTTCTTCTGGTGCAACAGCCAGGACGACATGATGATTTTTGGAAAATTTCATCCCAGAGACCTGCTGCCCATATTGGCATGTGAACTGGTCGTATTGTATGTTCCGAGTGCGTTCAGGCACTAGACATGTTTTCAATAACTTCAGCAGGGTAAACTTACCTGTGGTCCATTCATTTGCATCAAAGAAAGGATGAGATGAGGAAATTTTTTTGTCGATGTTCTAATGTTTCCCTCTGCAGTTCTGTGGTAGCTTCAGTTGTGGACTTGTGGTGAACCTTAAGAGGAATCGTCTATTAAGGTTTCATCCACTCAAGCAAATTAACCTTGAGCTGCAGAAATTAGTTAGAGACATACAGTTGATTTGCAATGGCTGTTCTGTACTCAGTTGACATGGCACACACACGGTTATGCGAGTTTTTTTTCCCCCTGAGGACAGAACAGCCACGGCAAATCAACTAACCAATTTCTGCAGCTCATGGTTATGCAAGTTTTTTTATAAACTTCTTCAACAGCCATGTGCTTAATTGATTTTCAGCTCACTCAAATGGACATCCAAACCAAGAACTAGCTCAGGTGCAGAACTGCATTTGAGATACTGAAAATTCCCATTCTGTTGCGTCCCTTTCAAGAGCAACTTCAGATGTGGATCTCAAATTTTCTGGATGTCTTGTTGAACGACCAAATAAATATCCATGGTACAACATGTGTGCATGCATTTGCATACTCAAAATTTGAAACAATATTACAACAAACAACTCAATATCTCTACAGTACAAATGCTACAATTACAGTCTGAAATAAAACTGTGCTACAAGCCTGTAACAGTCAACACAGTATTTGTGATATCCTATCCACGGTGTAAAGATTTTGATAAGCATCCCCACAATAAAGAAAGGCACTTGATAGTGCCCTTTCCCAATGCTACGCCCAGAAAGGGTTTCAAGAGATGACTTTGGCCGTTCAGAGTTACATCCTTGGTGGATATTTCAGTGTCAACTGGAGCATCGTGCATCACAATAAGATCAAGGGAACTTTATTCCATTGTTGATATACAATCTTTTGCCCATGAAGGGAGAGGTGACCAGAAAGTGATGGGCAATCCAGTGATAGGGTGTACAAATGACAAGCTCTCTGCATGCAATGCATGGCCATCACACTCTATGCCGTTCCACTCAATCACCCCACCGTATTTCACATCACCTCTGATTGGGAAACCAAGATACTGGCAGTGTAGACGAATCTGATGTGTCCGTCCACTTTGAGGATAGGCTCTAACCAAAATAGCACTGTTGTTCACATCACCACTACAAGTCTGGTCAGCTGCCTTTTCTTGTACAGTAATTGACTCGATATCATCGGTGCAAAAGTTGTTGGGTTCTCTAAACTTCCCTTTACCATTGACCCCTAAAACTTGAAACTGTGTGCTCATGTCCCTTACAACAGAACCACCTGGCAGTGAACGGCCAACATCAGACATAGCATATACACGCCAAGCACCATGTTTTGATCGCCCATGACCAGAACATATCTTAATCTTTTCCCATGTCGGTGGGCAACCTATGCAAAGAGCTAGATATGTTTTCTTGACTTTATGATCAGTGAATGCCTTCACTAGCTTCCCAGCAACTTTGTTGCATTTGGTGATAACCATGAGCCCACTGGTATCACGATCCAGCCTGTTTGCAAGGTGAAGATTAGGTTTAATTGCTGGATCCTCTGCAAGTCGCAATAGTCAGAACTTAGTGAAGCAAGAACAATACTAATGTAAAGAAAAACAATTCAATTGTGGCTTCAAATAATGAAATCTAGATGATAAATAAAAAAAAACACACTGATATTATTATGTAGCAGGTTACTTAAGTATCAAACTTTTACTTTCTGACAAAAGACAGGCAGATCAGAAGTGTTGTTTCCACACCTCAGCCTGTCCAGAAGTTACAACTATAGTCCTAAAGTAGCCAGACAACTAATTCCATACGCTTTGGGAGACAAGGCAAGAAACAAATATCAAACCTTGAATATTGTATTCAATTCAAAAACTCCCAAAAATAAATGAAGAGTTGCGCAAACAAATTCTAAATGATAAAACTATAGAGCTTCATATGATCCATTATTAAAACTTGTGCTCAGTAGAATCCTACAGCCATTAGTTTGCACTGATATTGCTTGCAGACAATAAGAAACTCAAGCAAAGTTAAAAAAAACAGGGGTTCAAGACAATAATATATCAGTCCGACAGTCCGCACAGCTGTATGATGTATCACATATGCCCTTCTGCTTCTACATCTGCTGAACATAATTCTAGTTCTAGAATAAGGGCCTGTTTGGATCCCAGGGCTAAAAATTAGCCCACCTTGTGAAAATGGATTAAACATGAGCTAATTATAGGCTAATAAGGGCTAATGGACTCTAACCAGTAATTAGCCCTCATTAGCTCTTATTAGCCCAAAATTAGCCCACATTTAGGCTTTCTAATTGGTATAAAAAAACATGGGCTAATTATAAGTATTACTTATGGGAAATGGATTCTAAAGCCATTTCTTTTTGCGGAGGAAGCTCAAATATACACATTGTATTTTTTTTTTATCATCATAGCATACCATACTTTCAGTGCTGGACGCTCACTTGCTAGTAGGAATTGTTAAACTAGTCCATTAAGATAGCATTATACAAGCTTAGATCATTTGGGAATAGAATGAGAATCAACACTTTGTCAAAATTACAGATTGGCTTATGCCTGTGGTAGTGTAATGAAACCCAAAATTGCAAAATTTGTCAAAACGCATTCTACATTGTAATGCTCCTAAATAGCTTCCAATGCACACTTTGCACTCATTCCTTTGCACTGATCACATAGCCTGTATGTCCTAACCAAACCAAGTATTGAGCAATGGCATTGCCATCAGTAAAATAACATTAGACAACACGTTGTATTGCACACAGATCACAAACTACCTAAAATCCGTCAATTTCGTCATCCAAATGATCGATATCACTGACACTGGATGATCAAAGTATGAAATCACAAGCAATGAGCTATGCAGAATCGCATTTTGCAAACTGTAGCAGCGCCATTGTCACCTAAAAGCAGATTCTTTTTAAGTTCAATCTTTTTTTACCTGAAATGGCAGAGCAAGGAAAGGAGGTGAGGAGGGCGTCGCAGTAGACGCCGGCGGGCTTGTCGACGACGGCGAGCCACTCGTCCTCGAACACGACGTCCGCAGAGGCGAAGGCGGCGGAGCGCGCGGAGGCGGTCATGGCGCGCCGGAGCTCCACGTCCTTGGAGGCGGCCGGGTAGGGCGGGGACACCGGGGAAGGATACTCTCCGCTCGACGGCGCCGTCGACGTAGCCGCTGACATCGCCGTGAGGCGGCGCGCCGGTGGCAGGAGGGAGCGGAGCGGGGAGGCGGCGCCGGCAGGAGGCTGGAGAAGGAGAAGGGACAGGGGTAGTTTCGTCATTGAGGTAAAAATACGGTAGCACTTGAGTATCTCGTGTTTGTCATCTCATTAAAAAAAGAGAGAAAGAAACCAAACCCTCGCCTGTCGCCTCCGCCGTGGGCGCCGGCGGCTTTCCCGGATCTCCGGTGAGATCCCGGGGGTAGAGGGATCCTCCCGTGAGCCTGGAGCCTCTGGGGTTCGGGGTTTTCCGGGCAATTTGGGTAGTGGCGGTGGTTGGCAATTTGGGGGTGGAGGAGGATGCGGGCGTCGTCGTCGTCGTCCAACGTGGGTATTCGCCTCCCTTCCCCTTCCAATCTCCTCCGCTGTTCTCGGGGTGCTTCTTCTGGGACTTTTATACTGCGCTTTACATCACTTGTTGTATGAATTGTGATGATGTACTTGTCGCTCTTCTGGGCTGCCCGATTCATGAGTTGCCATTCAGGTGGCTGCATTGTATATCAATTTGTTATTCAGGTGGCAAGCCTGTAACTGAGTAAATTTTAACTGCTTAGGTTATGGCCATCGAGTTGTCGTGAGCCATCCATTGTGTTTTCCATGAGAACTCGAATATCAATTTGTTATTTGGTATGATAGAGGGCTTGACGGAGGAGCCACATGATTTTCCCCTCTCTATTTCTATTTAACATAGAAGTTCCTATGCAGGCTCTAGTGTCCATGCCTATAAAACAATGTAGAGTTTAGGCTTTTATGTTCATGTATATAGATGTCTTTGATCACATTTACTTGATTTATGGAGAATGCTAAACTTTTAAATTTTGATTTCAGGAGGACATGATGATGGTGGAGTTAAGCAAAGTTCTGAGAACTCCTGTTGCGGAGATAAGTTCCAAGAGGGAGTTCTTTGGTGCACCTCAACAGGAAGTGGAGTAAGCACCTGTCTTACCTGAACAGCCTACAAGCACTGCATCGCATTAAGCAAACAGATTATTCTCTGTATCTGGACATTGTTCGGTTTGGCTTTTATTGTTAACAGTAGAGAGCTTATTTATATGGTACACCAATTGTTTTGATGCTATATAGCATTATCAATTTTGACGCTCTAATACATCAAAATGTCCAAGGCTTTTGTTGTTATAATAGGGTGCATGTTAGATTTGTCACTAGAAGCGTATTAATAGAGTTTCCAGTTTTCTTTTGAGCTTACCCTATAGCAATGAATAATTCATATTGACATGCAGAAAGAAGGCATACTCACAGGAAGGATGTGCTCATGTAAAGGAGTTGCAGGAAGGAGGTTTTCAAACAAAGGAGACGTACACAATAGGTCCTAATGCAAAGAAGTTGCATTTAGCAGCTGCTAATGCTAAGAAGTCATGTGCAGCACCTAGCCACAGTCCTACTGTGCTACTTCAGGGAAATGTAGATTCAATTTTGATGGATGATGAGGGCATTTCCGTGGATGATGAAGTCCTTGTGGATATTGAGCTGAGGGCTGAAGCTGATGCACAGGAAGCAGCCAGAAAGACTCAAAGTGAGGAATCTTTAGTTGATCCTATTTTTTATGCTGACACTTCCACTGCACAAATTCCAGTTGATGATTATGCAGATGTTAAGTTCAACATTGTGTATGACAATGAAAATCCAAGGATCAAAGTAAATGAATATTTCCCTTCGATGGAGAACTTCAGGATGGCACTGAGACAGCATGGAATAAAGAAGGGGTTTCAGGTGCACAAAATCAAGACGGATAAGACTAGGTATAGAGCTGAGTGCAAGGCAGAAGGCTGTCCATGGAGAATTGTGGCACGCAAATTGCGGGACGGACCAACTGTTGTGGTACTACTCTAACCTGCCTAACTTGTTAACTTGCTTAATGTTAGTAACTTGTCTAATTTGTTTTGTGTTTCTGTTTCCTGTATTGCAGATTAGCATGATGCCTCAAGAGCACAATTGCATATCTACTAGTAACCCTGTTACCTCAATGGCATCACAAAGCTGGGTTGCAGAGATGGCTGCTGATTGGTTGAGGGAGAGTCCAGAACTAGGAGCAAAAGAGTTGCAAGAGAAACTGCAGGAGGTGTATAGTGTAGAGGTTAGCTATGCTACAGTATGGGGTGGAAGACAGAAAGCAATGAACAAGATTTTTCAGTCTTGGGAAGACACTTTTCAGACATTGTACAATTTCAGGGCTGAACTTCTTTCCTTGTCTCCGGGCTCAGTTGTGGAGATTTGCACTAAGATATGTGGAGATGATGTCCACTTCGACAAGCTTTTCTTTGCTCTGGAGCAATGCATAGATGGCTTCAAAACAGGCTGTAGACCTGACATTGCACTCAACTACACAGACTTGGCTGGCATCTACTCAGGGAAATTAGCATGTGCTTGTGCGCTTGATGGTCACAATTGGATGTACCCTGTCGCATGGGCCATTTTTTTTGACTCTACTTCAAATGATAACTGGACTTGGTTCATGGAGCAATTGAAGAAGGCTATAGGAATCTACCAGGATTAACAATTTCTGCTGATGTTGGTGATAATAATCTAACTGAAAGTTTCTTAGAATGGACTCTGAACATAAAGGGCATGCCTTTGGTTGACTTGATTGATAAGTTGAGGCAGATGACAATGGGGGTTTGGTACAAAAGGAGGTGTATTGGAAGCAAGCTCTCTGGCCATATTCTCCCTGCAGTTATCCAACAACTTAATACACAAATAAGGAGTTTGAGAAACATCAAGGTCTCTAAATGCGGGTTGCAGACCGGTGAAGTTTCTGGCAGCTCTCAGGACATGGTGCCATGGAGGCACGTGGTGGACTTGGACGAGCACACCTGCAGCTGCGGGGAGTGGCAACTAACCAAGAAGCCCTGCCTCCATGCTCTGGCATGGATAACCACGGAGACAAATGCTGACGTGGAATCCTTTGTCCATGACTACTACTCTGTTGAGTGGTTTAGGGCTGCATATAGCGGTATAGTTCCACCCATGACAGACAAGTCGCAGTGGCCTCAGGTGGACCCTGGTTTCAAGCTGCTGGCACCGCAGTTGAAGTCAGGACTTGGGAAGAGGAAGTACACAACCAAGACAAGCGAGGAACCATGCGCTAGTAAACAGTGTGGAGAAATTGAACATCGTGAGAAGGGTTGCACGCTGCATTGCCCGAAGAAGAGGTTGGTGCACTAACTTGATGTTTTTTTCCCCTGTACATGCTTTATGTGAGAAATGCAACTGGCATTTTTTTGTTGCAGGAAGAGATGCCAAGCTGAAGAGGGCAGGAAGGTTGAGTACGACGCTAACTGATCATCTCTTGGAACCATGCATCACTATGGGACGGTAGATCTATCAAGGGAGGTGAAGATGCTCTGCGGTCATCGGTCTACCACAACTAGGCACCTATTTTGTAGTTGGTCCCAGGAAGGAGGATTTAGGAGCTGAGGACTTCATCTGTGGCTGCCTGTGTATGCATGGTTAAACTAACCAAGGACGGGGCCTGTAACGTGCTAAGCATGTTTTGCATTGGAAACTGTTTTAATGGCGCGGTAAATGTCATGAATCTGTGCTAGGCATTTGCTCCGTGCAAATATGATGTCAACGCCCGACCATTAAATTGCATAGGGGAGGCTCTTCTCAGGCGCGGCCTTGGCTCTTTGGTTGCTGCCTTCTGCTCATGTTGGTTGTGGGGGTTAAAGCCTTAAAGGTAGTAGCTGTGTTTATTGCTGTGCTTGGATTTTTTTTATTACTCATTCATTGGGTTCATTTTGCATTCTCTGATTTCTCCTTGCTTTGTTCTGTGCAGCAGGATGGCTAGCAGCAGGAGCCAGCTGAGCCGGGCATGCAGGAACTGGAGGCCAAGCACTGGTCGATCCAGATGCGTAGGAGCCAAAGGCTTTTGAGAGAGCCTCTGCCTACCTTCGCATTTGTCATTTGTTTGGGTCATTCTCGTGTCATTCGGTGTTTCAGGTTAGGGATGCGGGCTAGATATAGCTTTCCCCCCATCCCCCACCCCCCCCAACTTAAAACATAAATTGCATGCATATTTTGATGTCATGCCAAAGATTCAAATATTACGGATAGAACTCCCTACTGCTGCTGCTAATTGCCATGGGATATAGGCATATGGTACTCCCTTCGTAATGAATGCGGTACCATTAGCGGCAGGTGGAACCTGACGGTACTCATGGTTTGCTGCTGCACCTGCCTATTTCAGACCTTGAGCTCCAGCCTCCAGGTGTTGAGTTGCAGTACCCATTTATTATAGGGCCGGACAAAATACTCGCGGCTCGTCAACTCGCTCGACTCGTGGCCGGCTCGATTTGGTTCGTTTTAACTTTTTTCACAAGTTGAGCTGGAAGTCTAGCTTGATATTTTAACGAGCCAGCTTGAGCCAGCTCACGAGCTAAAACGAGCTGATGCCTATTAGCCCACGACCATGAATCTAGAAGATGATGATACTAACCTAAAAGTGTACACCTATTCTATTGGTATATAATCCTTATTTTTAGTTGTTTCATATGAATTTTAATTTTATAATTATTGTGGTACTTAAATGTTGATTTTATAGATTATTTTTTATAGAGAAGATGATGATACTGACATTGAATCTGTGGACTTTTCTAAGTTTGTGGTGGCAAGCAACTAGTTAGTATGCTGGAATTGCATGATCATGGATGGACCAACTATCTTGCATGGTTGATACTTTTGATGAATCTGATATGTATTAATCATGTATAGTTGCATAATGGTGGACGTCACATTCTAAAATTAATGTAGCATAAATATTATAAACATGTGTGTCCTATTTTTTTATTAGCTCACGAGCTAAACGAGCCGAGCCGAGCTGTCCCTCTAGCTCGTAATATTAACGAGCCGAGTTGAGCTGGCTCGTTAGCCTAACGAGCCAGCTCGAGTTGGACCGAGCCGAGGCTCGATATCCAGACCTAGTTTGGTACCAAATGTCTCGGCATGGTGCAGGGTGAACATTCTCACGTTTATATCAGAAAACACTTGAAAGGATCAACTCACAAGCCGTCCAAAAGAGATCGGCACACATGTATGCATTTGGAGGATCTGAGAGTCGGAGAGTTTGGAAAAGAACAACCTAGATGTATATGGTATATACTAGAAAGCATCTAGGCCCCTAGTTGGGTTCGGTGATTAATGACGACACAAGATTACTGTGACTAACATGTGTTTTGCAGAGGTAATTTGAGTTAGGTTATGGTAATGGTGATTGATTGGGCAATTATGGTTTTCATGCCATGTCGATGGAAATCGTTTCGGTTTTCAAAGGATGAACGACAAGGTTAAGGACGGACTAGTTCTAAGTGTCGTTTGGCGTTGTAGAGACACTTAGAATAGTTTAGCACTTTGTTTTTTCCTTTGGTCGTACTATTGAGGATATGAACTACTAGATTGACCTAGGTGAGTCTAATATGTTAAGTGTGGTGCACACTTGTCAAACTTAGCACTAGGGCCGTGTTCGGCTGGGATGAAACACTGTTCATGCTGGTACGGAAACACTGTTCATGCTGATATTTTGTGAGAGAAAAACACTGTTCCGGCTGGAAAAAAAGTGATCCAGCCAGCCAATCTTTACCAGCCGAACATGCTCTAGGTAGCTCAGGGACAACCCAAAGATCAATTGAAGTCAACTTCATTCACAGAGATTGTTGATTTGGAAGTGATTTGAAGCAAGATAGGAGGACCGGACGCATGGTGATGCCCTGACCGGACTCGGTCCTAGTGAGTTTGGTCAGTTGATGGGGCACGCTGCAGGGGCAGAAGGACGACCGGACGCTGGCGCAGATGCCGCCAACTATAGCCGCGGGGTCTCTGTACTAAGAGGGACCAGACGCTGAGAAGAAATAGTGACTGGACGCGCGCGTGTGTGAGTCCGGTCAACAACAGAATGCATCCAGATAGGGTTTTCGGGGACCTGACGCGTTAGGTCAGGGTGACTCCGCGGTGAGTCCGATCACTCTAACGGTCGACTGTTTACGCTGGCGAGTTTCTAGCCGTGGTGTACTGACCGGCGTGTCCGGTCACCCCAAAAGTTGCTGAGTTGGACCCCAACGGTCATGTTTTGAATAGGGGTGTATAAATACATCTCCCACTCGTTCATTTCACCTCTCTTGCCCATTTGTTCAGCTGAGAAAACACTTTGGAGTGCAAGGGAGAGCAAGAGCCTAGTGAGGCGATTAAGATTTGATAATCCAAGATTAAGGACCTCATTAGTGCATAGGGAGTAGCAAGTATGCATTCACCTTTCTCATTAGGCTTGTCTTGGTCAAGTAAGAGTTTGTGCTTGTTACTCTTGGTGATCGCCATCATCTAGATGGCTCGGTGGTGATTGGAAGCTTGGTGATCATCCGGCAGAGCTTGTGGATGACACAAGCCATGGTGTGAGCGGTTGTGGGCAATTCACCGTGACGAAGTGTCAAAAAATCAGTCCGTAGAGAGCACTTGATCCTTACGTGGATCAATGGGGAGCTATACACTTGCACGGGTGCTCCAACAAGGACTAGTGGGGAGTGGTAACTCTTCGATACCTTGGAAAAATATCGCCGCGTTCTTCTCTCTCTCTTTACTTTGAGCATTTACATTTGAGAAATTCAATTCTTGTCTTTACATTCTTAGAATTGTCATGCTAGAGTAGGATTGGAACATCGGGTGCAAAACTTTTGTGCGGTAGAACAATAAAAACACTTTTAGGTACGAGGGGGTGAAATGGGCTAAGTGTTGGGCTTAATTATTGTAAGAAATTTAGAATTAACCCAATTCACCCCCTCTTTTGGGCATCTTGATCCTTTCAATTGGCATCGGAGCCAAGTGCTGCTAAATTAGGCTTAACCGTATGGAGCAAGATGTCCCATGGGGATGGATCCCCTCCCTTCTTTGAAGAAGATGATTTTCCTTATTGAAAAATTCATATGGAGGTGTATCTATAGGCTATAGATGTTGGAGTGCTTAGAGCCACCACACAAGGATTCCCAAAACCCGAGGACCCCGCCAACCCCATTGGTGATGAGGCAAATTACGAGAAGTGGAATGCAAAGGACAAAAACACCCTCTTTAGAGGCCTTTGCAAGGATGTCTTTTACCACCCTCTCCTATCATTAATCATTACTTATCATATACAATTATCTCTTGACTTACCCCTGTTGTAAGTAGAAGTTTGGTTATGTTTTATCTCTCTATCTTGCATATAAGTTATCAATATATTCCAACTGCCCGTCTTTTCTTGTGGTAAAAATATAAATAACGATACCTGGAATACTCCCAGGTGAAGTGCTACAATGGTATATTATCTGTGCGCTTGCAGATCCCTATCATTCACACATTTATTCTTTCAAGTCACGAGTAAATGCCAATAAGCACTTTTGGCGTCGTTGCTAGAAATTAAATTCAAAACCTTGTTCTTAGTAGCGACGTTAAGAAATGCTAACAAGCATTTCTGGCGTCGTTGCCGGGAAGGTAGCTAGGCAAAAAGGAAATATTGATAAACTTATACTTATTGATGTGATCGAGATAACCATTTACCTCTGCTCAAACAAGCTTACCCTTGCTCTGTCTACTTTTATATCTTATGCAGGGTAATGTATGACCGGTTTTGACCTTTCGATAAACTACATTGAAGATCCAGAAGCATTAATCAGGAGAACTAGAGCTAAACTCAAGAAAGTTCCAGCTTTAGATTCGGAGGACAACCATACAAGGTGGAGCTTAACACCAGTTTTTCGAAGCCATGGCTAACAAGACCCTCCGTGAGTTCTCTGCTCCAACTACGGTCAATATCTGTACTGGACCGGCGACCAATGTCGGAGACAATAGATTTGAACTCAAGCCAGCTCTCATCAACATGGTGCAAGCTAGCTAGTTTTGTGGAAAGGCACATGAAGATGCGAGTGCTCATCTCCAACACTTATTGGAGATCTGTAGCACTTTCACCATTAAAGGAGTATCCAGAGACGCCATACTACTTCACCTCTTCTCATTCTCACTCTTGGGGAAGGTGAAGCAATGGTTCTACACCAACAAAGATAGAAATACTACATGGGATAACTGATCCATTGCCTTTCTAGCGAAGTTATTTCCCCACGGGTAAGACTAATGCTCTGCATGGAAGAATTTTAAGCTTTCAGCAACAACATGATGAATCTGCCCCTAAGGCATGGGAACGCTTTCAAGACTATATAGCAGAATGTCCTCATCATGGGATAGAGAATTGGCTACTCATGCAGACTTTCTACCACAGGTTGACCAATAGCACCCATAAGAATATGGATGCTATTGTTGGAGGTGCATTCCTGTCACTCACAATCCCAGGTGCAACAGCTCTCGTAGAAAAGATGGCCTCCAACCAAGGTTAGAATGAAGAACGTCTTCCGACCCGCAAGAGAGGTGGAGGTATGCATCAACTCAAGGAGGTAGACATGTTGTCTGCCAAGATGGACCTGCTGATGAAGAAGCTCGAAGACCGAGCCACCGAAAAGCAAGAAGTCATGCACATTCATAATTCCCGCATGCCGTGTGAAGAGTGTGGAAATGTTGGGCATTCAGGGAACAACTGCCCTAAAATTCAAGGGGATGTGAACTTCATCAACAACAACAATTATCGTCCTCAACAAAATCAAGGATGGAATCAGCAACAGTGGCCGAACTACCAAGGTAATTACCAAGGTAACTATCAAGGTAATAATTTCAATAATCAACCACCCTTGAGAGAGTTAATTTCTGGCCAAGCTAAAATTATGGAGGGTTTATCTAGAAAATTAGCTTCCAATGACAAAATCTTAGAAAATATAAATAATAGGACGGATAGCTTCTCCTCAGCCATTAAAATCCAGCATAGCTTTAATAAAATGATAGAATCACAAATAGCTCGGGGCTGGTG